CCAATTATTCTTTTTTCCTAGCATCCTGTTGTTTTACAGATGCATTCTCTTCTGTTTCCCTGAAGAAGTTGTAACTAATTTCTTTTCTTTCTTTTTTTAATTTTTTTAAATTTTCTGTATTGTCTCTGTATCTTCAGAGTTCTCTTTGTCTCTGTGTTTCAGGCTTGGTTTCCTATGTTGAAGACTTGCATGAAGTGTCTGGAGATTCTCAGGTTTTTGTTCACAGTCAATGGCTGATGGGAAGCTCCTCTGTCTGAGCAGAGCTTGCTTCCCTGCTGGGCAGCTTTGAATGAAGAGGGCATGGCCGGGGTCAGCATCTGTTGTTCCTTTCTCTGGGGCTATTCAGTTTATCAAAGAATACCCCAGAGGCACCTGGGTGGCTCAGTCAGTTAAGCATCTGACTCTTGATTTTGGCTCAGGTCATGATCTCAGGGTTGTGAGATCAAGTCCTGTGTCGGGCTCCGTGCTGGGCATGGAGCTGGCTTGAGATTATCTCTCCCTCTCTCTCTGCCCACCCCCCTCCATGCCTGCTCTCTTGTGCATGCTTCTCTCAAAGTAAATAAATTAATAAATAAAAAGAACACCACAGTCTTCTATATGGCTACAAGCCTCCAGAAGCAGGGCAGACAAAGGTGGCTCAGGCAATGGTAAAGGCTGAGTCCCAAGTGTTCAGTGTGTAGAATTTTCCCTAATCTTCCTCTTTTTAGCTTATTCCACCCTCAGTCTCTGCCATGCTGCCTGTCCTGGGTCTGCTGAAAGGCTCTGTTTAATTTTTCCAGAGACAACTCCCTAACTGGTCTTCCTTCTTTTACTCTCTTCTCAAATCTGTTTTCAACTTAGACCTGGAGTAATCCTGTTAAGATGTGGGTCAGATCTGGTCTCCTCTCAAAATTCTCCAATGCTTTTCCATCTCAATAAAGTTAAAAACCAAGGTCCTCATAATTGCCTAGAAAGGCCCCCTGCCCTCCATGCTTGCTTCTTGGAATTTGTTTGTCCTATGACCCTCCCATTCTTTCTCACTCCACTCCAGCCATACTGGCTTCCACACTGGCTTTAGAACACACTAGCTGGGGTGCCTGGGTGGCTCAGTGGGTTAAGCTTCTTCCATCGGCTCAGGTTATGATCTCAGGGTCCCGGGATCGAGCCCCGCATAGCGCTCTCTGCTCGGCAGGGAGCCTGCTTCCTCCTCTCTCTCTCTCTCTCTCTCTGCCTGCCTCTCCGCCTACTTGTGATCTCTCTCTGTCAAATAAATAAATAAAATCTTTATCAAAAAAATAAAACACATCAGCTGGTCTCCTGCCATAAACCTTTGCACCTGCTGCTCTGCTTACCTGGACTGCTCTTTTCCCAGGTATCTACGCGGCTTGCTCCCACACACCTTCCCGTCTTTACTCAAATGTTTCTTCTTAATACAGTCTTCTCTGGCTACCTCAACTAAACTCCCCATCCCCTGACATACATGCTTTATCTCCTTTGCTTGCTTTATTTTTTCCCTTAAGTATCATCCCCAAATGATATACAATAATATATATTTCACTTTTCTATATAGTTGGTTTACCATCTGTCATCCACTAGGAAGTCAGATCCATGAAAGCAGGGAGTCACTGCTCAACTCAAACAAGGCCTGGCATTTGTGGGGTGTCCCGATTGGGTGCTCTGGTTGGGTGGAGGCTGGCAACATGGATGGTGAAAGAATTCACCGAAGGTAGAATAAAAGAGATAAAAGCAGTGGACAGGACAGCAAAGGACTGTCTGCTATGAGGTGGTGGTGAGAGGCCACAGTTACAGGGCAGAGTAAGGAGGCAAGGAACTACGGAATTGTCCCTTTATTTAAATTTTAGGACCTGTGCCTGTTTGTAATTGGTCAGTTAGGGCCTATGGCTATTTCAAGCCAGGTCATTTAATGAGCCTGTTTGCATTTGACTCAGTGATCGCTGCAGGCCCCCTTTGCCTTGTTCTACAGCATTTAATAAATTAATGTTGAAATAAATAAATAAAAATGGATAAATGAATTGATCCTGAAGTCTTCTGTTGGTTTTTTCTTTTAAATTAGTAAAAAAGCAACCCTATAAAATGTAAACAGCAGTTTTTCCCTCTGCTAAACTTTTTTTTTTTTTTAATTGGTAACAAGTGAGGTTGCTGGGTGCTTGGGTGGCTCCGTCAGTTAAGTGTCTGCCTTTGGCTGAGGTCATGATCTTAGGGTCCTGGGATCGAGCCCCTCATTGGGCTCCCTGCTCAGCAGAGAACCTGCTTCTCCCTCTCCACCACACTCGTGCCCTCTCTTGCTACCTCTGTTGCTATTTCTTTTTCTCTCAGATAAATAAATAAAATCTTAAAAAACAAAACAAAACAAAAAACAAGTGAGGTTGCTGATATTTCTGAGAAAGCTTTCATTATGTGTGTGTGTTCCATCATTAAAGGTAGTTCATTAAGAATTCCTTGGTAGACAAATAAATGTCTTTGGGCTGTTAATTTGGATTTCATGAAAGAAATAGAATCAGGATTAGAAATTAGCTTGTTAACTTGCAAACTGTAAGAACACATAAGCAATCAAAAGAAGAACATTAGTTCTATAATCACTGATATTACTAATTGCTTTTAATGTTTAAAAGGATGCCATTAAGGCTAAATGGCAAGAGATTTCCCTGTAGAATCCAATCAGCTAACCCCATTTTGAGGAGTCTTTCTTGGTGTTCAAACTAATGATCTTAAGTGCTCCATCAGAAACATGCCATAATTATTTTGGTTCAAAATGTGGATGCATTCAAGCTACTCATGAAATATACTACCATATTTGGGGGGAAAGGCTTTCTTGAACTATACATTGTTTTTTAATGCTTTTTAAATGAGAAGCTGTATTTTCAGGTGGGTATTTCATAATCATCTTCCCCAGTCACAAAAATTGAACCATTTACTAAGCAAGCCCCAAATAAGTACTTGATGAGAACCATTTTCCGTCAAATCAGCTGAGACTGTCCATCATTAGCACTCACTACAGTAATGACCGAAGATTGCCTGCAGCCGTTAATAAAGTCTTCCACCACAGGGTATGGTGAGAAAGTGACCACAGTGCTCAGGAAAACCAAATGAAATCACTAACCTGCTTTCAGCCTATTGAGCTTAAAGTCTAATTTAAATTCATTTTAGAGCAGTAATTCCATTGCATTTGAATTCAACTCAAGTGGACTAGAAGTATATGTTCTGTTTCTCCAAAATAAAGGGATAGTTCAAAAATCTTGGGATCGTTTGGTTGGCTGTGAAGAAATGATGATGCAGTGGTTTTAGTTTAAAAATGGCAACACAGTAGACAGTAATGTTATAATTCTTCTTTTTAAAACTGCCAGTGTTAGGAGGCGCCTGGGTGGCTCAGTGGGTTAAAGCCTCTGCCTTCGGCTCAGGTCATGATCCCAGGGTCCTGGAGTAGAGCCCCGAGTCAGGCTCTCTGCTCAGCAGGGAGCCTGCCTTCCTCTCTCTGCCTGCCTCTCTGCTTACTTGTGATCTCCGTCTGTCAAATAAATAAAATCTTAAAAAAAAAAAAAAAACCTGCCAGTGTTAGAAAAAAAAAATGCAATCTAAAACTATACCATGTCTCTAAGGTCATTTTATCAAAGATATGATAAAGACCAATCCAATGCTTTTACTACTTAATTCTCTCTATGTAACTTGCCAGATAATGACAAAATTTCTTCCCTGCCTTTTTAAAAATTCACATTCAATTAATTAACATATAATATATTACTGGTTTCAAGGGTACGGGTCTGTGATTTATCAGTCTTATATAAGTCTCTCCCCCATTTGTTTATTTATTTATTTATGATTTTATTTATTTATTTGACACAGAGAGAGAGAGATCACAGGTAGGCAGAGAGAGGGGGGGAAGCAGGCTCCCTGCTGAGCAGAGAACCCAATGCGGGGCTCCATCCCAGGACCCTGAAAGACCATGACCTCAGCTGAAGGCAGAGGCTCAACCCACTGAGCTTTATTGGAAATGCCACCTTCCTCATCTTCTCTCTATCAGCAATGAGAATGGCTATCGTTAATTCTGGTCATGCATATTAATGAAAGCAGGAGGGCAGGGTTAGCCCATGTTAAATAAATAAGTCATTCCATATGTGATTCTCTCATTTTCAAAGGATTACATGGTCATAAGGGACCGTTCATACTCTCCTGATGTCAATCACAATTAAGCAATCTTTGACGGTCCAGCAAGCGAGTCAGAATCTTGTAAGGATGTTGCTTGAGTTTTCCAATTGCTGTCTGGAAAAATATCTGCAGGTTGGGTTGTGGGGGAGAATAGAGAATAGGAGAGGGTCCCTCAGATAATATTGCTTACAGCAACCCGCCCTTAATCTGTGTTTTCTCTTTCCACAGCTCCTGTTACCCATGGTCAGGAAGCAGATGGTCTTCCTTCTGCGGAATCATCAGAAGGTCAGTAGTAGCATAACACCGTGGTGTCATTCCCCTCCCTTCATCTCCTCATGCAGGTTTTGTCATTGTTCATCATCACAAGAAGAAGAGCGAGTACGGTGCAGTAAGATATTTTGAGAGAGAGACCACATTCACCAATTTTTATTATAGTATACTGTCATAAGTATTCTAGACTACTATTTATTATTGTTAATCTCTTACCGTGCGCATTTATAAGTTAAACTCTCATAAGTATGCTTGTATAGGAAAAAAAAAAGCCACAGTATATGTAGGGTTTGGTCCTATCTGCAGTTTCAGGCATCCAGTGGGGATCTTGGAACATATCCCCCATGCATAAGGGGAGACTACTGGGCTTAGGTCAAAGACAACCTATGACATCAGAAAAGTTCTTGAACTCTGTACAAATCATGGAGCAAATGGACATAAGGGTAGGTGGCTTATGACAGTGCTCCTGGTCATCACATAGCTCAGGCCAGTTATTTGATGAAAAAAGTAGAGGAAGCTGTGAGCAATATAGCATTTAGGGGTGAGTAGACGTGGACAAGTGGAAGGGAACACAAACCACACTCTACCTGTCTTTCTGGCTCTCAGTGCTTCAAGTATGTCAGCAGCAGCCATCTCTCCCAGGACATTGTTTCTGAGGTCAATTTCCCGTAAGTGAGCAGAGTATATGATCAGGCTGGCCAAAGAAAATGACAAATCAAAGTGGCATTTTGCCAAGCACAGTTACTCAAAGAAACTTAGTCCACTTACTTTGGAGTCTGATCTCTTTTCTTAGGTCCTCAACACTCTCCTTGACGCCCCCTTCCAATGATGATACACTGACCCAATTTGAAACTGAATGCAGGCTTTTCCAATTTAATCTCTCTAGTTTGGACACCTCTCTTAAGTCAATTGGTGGGATAAAGACTTTAAGTTGCCTTACAGCTTCCATTCATTTATTTATTCAGAAGATATGGTGTGGTATTGTGCAGGGCTTCCCACTCTTTGTGGATTTTGCACACCAGTAAAATGTCAAAAAGCTTGGGGGGGACTGGCCTGACAACTTTTAGTACATCAAACAAATAACAGTTCTCACCTAGCAACACTTAAAAGAACAAATATTTTTACACAAAATTAGAAAGGGCATAGTCTCAGAATAAAGGATAGCTTTTAAAACTAAGTAAGCTTAGCTTTATGAAAAATGAACCCTCCATCTATCTTTTTTTCCTAATCTCTTTGAGGATTATTGAAAATTCCTTCATGCTCTAGCACCAGCCTGCCTACTGGTCTTAGAGAATTTTTGGCATCATGAGGAGACATGGAATCAGGGTGAAGGCCTGGGCTCCTGGTCAGCTTCTACCTCCTGTCAACCTTGTAATCATGGGCAGGCCATGTGCCCTCTTGGGTCCCATCTTCCTCATCTGTAATATTGGGCCACAAACTGGCCCTTTTACAGATTTCATAAGGTTGTGGTAAAAACAGAATGAAACAATTCTTATGAAAGTATCTTGCAAAGTGCAGTACCAGTGATATTATTATATTGAGTGCACACTTACTAAATGCATATGACCTACCATTGCAGAGATTAAAGGAATTTAACACATTGCCTCTGCTCTAAAAGAAATCATCATATGACTTTCAATAAAACAATTTTGAGTTTACCATGCGCTGGGAATGTGAAATTTCAGTTAAGATCAGTAGTAAATACAAGGTCATTCTCCCTGTACACGCTGTCTATTGATTCAGCAGCTAGCATTCAAGGGTGGGGCTCAATGGTTCTGCCAGACTCTCCCTCTCAAAGGTCTTGCGCCCAAGGAAATAGCCTGTCTAATCAGAACTTGCCTAGCTTCGGCTTCCTGAACTGTCTGCCTGTGTCCTATTCCTTCAGATAAGATGGGTGAAAGTAGGAATGCTTCAGGAGGAAGCAGGGGTTCTAGAAGGAGAAGGGAGAGTGTTGAAGAACAACTGCACAACTCAACAATTCTACATCTGATTTCGGAGGCCATGGATTTAATCACTAGACCACACAGCCTCACATGAGCTAAGGTTTGATGGAGCATTCTTTGTGCATCAGATGTGATCAGGGTCACCCACATGTGTAAGCACTTGTGCCCAGCACCAAGGGGGCCTCCAACGGTGTGAGTGGGGCTGAAATCTGCCAAGCTCTGTTTGCCAAGTTCTGGGACCTGAAGCATAGACTAGAAAGGGTTACCTCCTCTGACTCAATGGCCAGAGGTGGTGCCTCTTTTAATTTGTCTAGCTGGATGGGCTCTTTTTCTAATTTGTATAAAGGTGCTAGCTGGAGCCCTCTGCACTGTATATAGCACGTTACACACCTGATCTAATTTAACCCTATAACACTGTTTTGATTATTATCCCCATTTTTGCAAATGAGGAAACTGAGTTAAGAGAAGTTACTGTAAAAATATATATAGGTTAAAAATAAAAGGACAGAAACAGATATACCATGCTGATGTTAATCCAAAGAAAGTTCAAGTAGCTATATTAATATTCATCAAAGTATATTTCAGAGAAGGGAATATTACCAGAGAGAAGAGAAAAATATTACTGGCGATTTCATAATGATAGTAAGGGTCAATTCTTCAAGTGATTTAATCTTAAATGTTTTGCACCTAACAACAGATCTTACAAATATATGAAGCAGGGGTGCCTGGGTGGGTTAGCCTGTTAAGCATCTGCCTTCAGCTCAGGTCATGGTCCCGGGGTCCTAGGATCGAGCCGTGTTGGCCCCGCTGCTCAGCAGGGACTCTGCTTCTGCTTCTCCCTCTCCCTCTGTGTCCACTTGCTCTCTCTCTCAAATAAATTAATAAAATCTTTTAAAAAAAGGCAAATCACTTTAAAAAAAAATATATATATATATACAGCAAGGGACACCCAGGTAGCTCAGTCGGTTGAGCATCCGATCTTGATTTTGGTTCAGGTCATGATCTAGGGGTCCTGGGATCGAACCCCACACTGGGTTCCACACTCAGGGAGTCTGCTTGAGATTCTCTCTATCCCTCTTCCCCTCCCCCCACTCTCTTTCTGTCTAAAAAATAAATAAAATAAATCTTTTAAAAAAATACATGAAGCAAAACTGATTAAACTGCAAGGAGATACAAAGTCACAATTATCCCTCTTTCAATAATTGATAGAGCAAGTAAACAGAAAATTTGTAAAGATATAGAAAACTATAACAATGCTGCCAACCAATTGGACCTAACTGACATTTCTTAACATTCTATCCAAATATAGCAGAATATACATTCTTCAAGTGCACGTTGAACATTGACCAAGATGATCATAATCTGGTCCATAAAACAAGTATATTCTCTAATCACAGCATAATTTCATTAGAAATCAACCACAGAAAAATGTGTGAAAAATTTACAAATATGTGTAAACTAAATAGCACTCTTCTAAATAACCCATAGGTCAAAGAAATCAAAAGGGAAATTAGAAAATAGTTTGAATTGAATAACAATAAAAATACAACATATCATGGGACATCTAGGTGGCTCAGTAGGTTAAGCAGCTGTCTTCAGGTCATGATCCCAGGGTCCTGGGATGGAGTCCTGAATCCAGCTCCTTGCTCAGCAGGGAGCCTGCTTCTCCCTCTGCCTCCTGCTCCCCCTGCTTGTGCTCTCTTTTTCTCTGACAAATAAATAAATGAAATCTTTAAAAAACAGACAACATATCAAAATTCGCAGGATGCAATGAAAAAGTGCTTAGTGTTACTATAACCATTTACATTAGAAAAACAAAAAGTTAAAATCAATAACTAAGCTTCTACCTTAATAAACTAGAAAGAGAAGAGCATATTAAACCCAAGGTAAACAGAATAAAGGAAACAATAAAAATAAGGGTATAAATCAGTGAAATAGAAAAAATTAAAACATTAGAGGTAACCAAAAGCAAGTTCTTTGAGAGGATCAATAAAATTAATAAAATTCTAATCATATTGATTGGGGAAAAAGAGAGAAAACAAATTATTAATATTAAGCACAAAAGAGGAGACATCACTACAGAGCCTCCAGATAGGAAAAGGATGAGAAGGAAATATTATGAACAACTCTAAGACAATAAATTTGAAAACTTAGCCAAAATGAACAAATTGTTTGAAAGATATAAACTACCAAAGCTTAACACCCCCCTCCCAAAATAACCAGAATAGACTTCTATCTATTAAAGAAAGTGAATTTGTAGTTAAAAAATCTTCCCATAAAGAAAACTCCAGATCCAGGTGTCTTCGCTGGTGAATTCTACTGAATATTTAAAGGTAAAATAATACCAATTCTACACAAGTTCTTTCATAAAATAGAAAAGTAGGAACACTTCCTAACTCATTCTGTAAGGCCAAAATCACCTCGATCCCAATACCAAAGGAAAACATTACAAGAAAAGAAAAGTAGGGACAAATATCCCTGATGAACACAGATGTGAAAACCCTTAACAAAATGTTAGCAATATACTAAAAGGATAATATAGCAGCAGCGTATTAAATCTAGCAATATATTAAAAGGGTAACAAAATGAAGTTTAGTAATAGAACTATTAGAAAAATAGCAGCCAAGCTATCCAAGTTGGAAATTCCCAACTTTCCGAAACAAATATATTAGAAAAAGAATCTTTTTCTTCTAAAATAATAAATAGCCATCGATCAAGCTCTCAACTCTTGAATCTGAGCTATATTCTGTTGCCCTTGATTGCCCTGAGGTGCTCTCAGTATTGATGTCTAAGATGGAAAACCTGGAGCCCTCTACAGAGTAAGCTTTCCTACAGAGCTGCAAATGCTTACTTGTGGTTTGGCCCACTGGGTGTGGGATTCAGGAGAGCTGGACAAAGAGATGTCCAAGGTTGCAGCATAAATATGGCAAGGAAACATTTTGTTTTCCAGCAGCTTTTGAGAAAAGCTCTGTCTTTCTGCCCAAGTAGCTTGAGACAACTTTGTGATCAAGAACTAAACAGTGTTGACTCTTGAGTGGATTGCCTTTCTTCCTTAGGTCACATAGCTGACTTCACGGAAGAAAAATCTGGAGGTCATAACTCCTGCCTTTCCTCAGTTGCCAGCTTCATTAAATGGGGCTTCTAGTGAGGTCTTTGGAGTCCCTCTGTGGCTCATGTACAACTGTGTGCCATGCCATTTTTATGATCTCAAGCCTTCCCTTAAGATCATGTACCAAGATCACAGTGGGTCACTGCTTCCCTCTCGAAGCTAAAAACCTCACTTGGCACTGTTATTAAACTGCAGTTAAGTCATTTTCCCTATGATTCAACCCAAGCACCTAGTTTCAGAAGGCGAACAAATAAAACCTCTTTTCTACTCACCATGTTAAAATTTGAGTGAATTCCAACAAGCCATTTTCTCCTTCTTTTCCTCTTCTGTCTAGGCCATTATCTGCCAGATACAACTTCACTAACCAAGGACCAGCTTCAGTCAAATCTTTAATTTTTTTCTTGATTCCTATAAGAAAATAATAGTTTTTATTATTTTTAGACAATAGCTCCCCCATTTACCACCACTTAAGTTAGTTTTATTTTTTAAGATTGTACTTCTTTGACTTGTGTGAGTAGATGCATTTGGCAATAAAGTGAAGGAGATACATGCAATCTAAGGAGTCCTTTAAAAAAATACTTTAGGGCACCTGGGTGGCTCAGTGGGTTGAGCCACTGCCTTCGGCTCGGGTCATGATCTCAGGGTCCTGGGATCGAGTCCCGCATCAGGCTCTCTGCTAGGCAGGGAGTCTGCTTCTCTCTCTCTCTCTGTCTGCCAGATAAATAAATAAAATCTTTAAAAAAATTTAAAAATTAAAAAATTAAAAAATACTTTATTCTTTATAATAGCAAGTCCCAAATTGCTCTGTATGAAAGGAAATCTCACTTAAGATTTAGATTGTTGCCTTTGCTTTGGCTAAAGAGGAAAACAAATGTCTTTAGAAATTTCACGATAGAAGATAAATGAGCTATCCACCAAACCTGGGGAAGTGATAGTCCTTATCCAGGGATTCCGCTCTTTAAAAGAGTCTGTGAAGTTGCCACATTTTTTGAGCTCTGGAAGGGCAAATTTTAAAGACAAAGAACCAGCTTGCCTTTGTAGATGTCCCTACCGAGGTCAGTGGTCCTGGAGTCTGCTCACCCCCATTGGTCTATTTAGCTTTCATAAAGTTCAGTGTCAGTGCTGTAGCATGGCATATGTACACATTTCATTTCCACCAGCTCAAGTTTAGGAGTTTGGCAAAGAAAAAGACAGGAAGGGGATGGAGAAGGAGAAACAACCATGGACATAATGGCCAGCTCATCCACTCAGTAGGTGTGAGATGACAGATATGAATCTGGTCCCAAAGCCAGATGGCTTCCCAAAGGCCTCCAAGTATTCAAAGTTATATGCTTTGTAGGCAATATAACCCCGTAAACCCTAGCTGACAACTTCATCCGGGGCGTAACTGACAAACAATGATCTGTTCCAAAGCTTCCAAAAAATTGCACGGGACTTAGAAACCATATCCCTAAATGTTTGTGTGGGCAATTTAAGGGATTGTGAAGAATCACTGAGCTATATTCTAATTTTGCCTAAATAGGCTGACTTGGGAACCTAATCCCAAGGGGTGGACAGAACTTTTTTGTACTTGAATTCATTCAGCATTCAACATATCTGTCTGAGCTCTGTTCTATGCCAGGCACTGTCCTAGGTGCTGGGAACCCAACAGGGAACAGAAGAAACAAAACTGTCCTTCTGAAGCAGACATGAAGTGAAAGCTAACGAGCGTGTAGGAAGAGCAAGAAGAGAGAAGTCAATGGTAACTAATGATGTAAGTTTTCAAGTCATGGAAGAGAGCTGACTTTTTAGGGAAAGGTGATAAATCTAGACTTTGGGCTATTCTAGTTTGCCAGTTTTTTGTTTTTTGTTTTTTAAGTATGCTTTAAAAAGAGATTCAACTGGTGTTTTTGGTTACAAATCTAATCTGTTGGATGGTTGAATAAAATAGACAGGACTTATTTTCCCTTTTTTTTTTTTAAAAAAGATTATTTATTTATTTGACAGAAAGAGAGAGAGAGAACACAAGCGAGGGGAGCAGAAGAGGGAGAAGGGAGCTTCCTGCTGAGCAGGGAGCCCAATGTGGGGCTCAGTCCCAGAACTCTGGGATCATGACCTGAGCCGAAGGCAGACGCTTAACTGACTGAGCCAGCCAGGTGCCCCATGGGCTTATTTTCCTTCAAAACACATTAGGAGGGATGAAAACTAGCCCATCATTTAGTTTCACTGGGAATAAACCTAACTTGTCCAAATGTATTTGTCCTTACATCCAGGCATGGGAATGATGGCAAATGACAGCTGTTATGAATAATTTGACAGTGCTAATAGATTAGAACAGTATCTGGCACATTATGGGTATTTAATGACTGTTGAACAAATGAATGAATCCGTGAATAACTGAGTACAGAATTTTGTGGAAACTTTTATCTCACTGTTCATTGTTTTTCCATATACAGTGTACCTAACAATGCCTTGAGACCATTCATGAACACAAATAGAATGTCTTTTCTATCTGTAAAATCTCATTACAATATAAATGCCTTTGAAAAGTTACTGCTCAGAATGATTAATGATGTGGATAGTGATTGCACATGGCACTCGTTTCCTTTTGCCCCCCTTTCTGCCAGAAAGCAAAGGTGATGGAACATGAGGCCAGTGGGGCCAAGGCCAAAGGCCAAATTCCTGGGCAGTGGCCAAGGTGTGCAAGGAGGACATGGTTTTTGCCAGTTTACCTCTGCCACCAACTTAGCCCACACGGCACAAACACGTGCCATTAGAGACAAAGGGAGCTTGCGGGTCTGTGATTGACCTGGTACCACTTGCATCCCCATGGGGAGAAACCACCCAAATCTTCCCCCAGCTGGTGGTAAGTAAGGTTGCAATGTCATCTCTGCCCACGAAAAATAACCAGCTTGGAAAGTGCAAGTCCAAACCATCCTGCAGAATTCAGCGAGTCACAGCGCCCTGCTGGGCACTAGGAAGACTGATGCTGCTTAGTACAGGGACTTCCTGCTTTAGACCTTCAGCCAAAATTCAAACAGAACCAAATTATTTTCTCTGAATGGAAAACAAATTTCTCAGAGTAAGGGTGAGTCCATGCTCAGGCCCTGGTAATACTTGACCCACCCCCAGCTGTATACACCAACCTATTTCTACCTAATCTTCACATTTCTTCAAAACAAAAACAAGCTCACTGAAAATGCCTACTGTTTTTTTCTTTTAAGAGACAGGGAGAGAGACAGGGGGAGGAGCAGAGAGAAGCTTAAGTGGTCTCCACACCCAGAGCAGAGCCCCCCCCGGGGCCCAGCCTGGCAATCTATCTCACAACCCTGAGATCAGGACCTGAGCCCAAATCAAGAGGCCTACACTTAACTGACTGAGCCACCCAGGCACCCCAACAGTGACTACTTTCACTTACCTGCTTCTGTCTCCAAGAACTTAGTGGTGGCCTAGCAACACCAGTTGTGCCTGAGAGGCAAGATGGTGTAGAGAAAGCAGAATCTCTGGGTGTAAAACTTCTCTCTAAAAAATGCCGTTTGGCTCCCCAGAAAGTCACTGAACTTCTCTGAACCCAAATTTCCACAGTGCTGTAATAGAGATCATAAGACTCCTTTCCTAGATGCACTACGAAGATCCACCAGGAAGTGCAGTGAAATAATGGTTGTGGAGGAACTTAGTACACAATAAATATCATTTTCTGTCTTCAGCTTCATGTCTGGATATTGTAAGTCACTGAAACACTGGAATGAGAGCATGCTGGGGAAGAACCTGCTTGTGTAAGCTATCTCCCCTTCCACTACTGCCTCCCAAGGATCGGATACACGTTTCTGACAACTGTACACCTCCCGCAGAAGCCACTCCACAGATCCATGTGGACTCGCCCAACCTTGTGTTTCTTCCCATTTTCTCTTTGGTTCATTGCCAAGATCCACCAACGGTCCCTAACTTCAGGATCTTTCTTGCTACCCTCACTGAACTGGCTATCCGGACCCATCAAATTTCCCCCCTTAAATATAGCCGGATCTGGACTATCTTTCTATCACTGTCCTCTGCATTCTGCCTTTTCTCTTCTCTTATCTGAGCTACTGTAGTAGCCTCCACACGGGTCTCCCATCACCCAGATGTCCCTCTTGCTAAGACACATTCTGCAATGCTGTCCAAGGTTCTTTTCAAAAATCCCATTCTCATCATGTCACTGTCTTGCTTCAGAGGAATCGTGGCTCCCACTTTGTGCACAGGTGAAAGCCTAACTCAACAACATTCATGGGTTTGGGTCATGTGGGTCCCCTGGCCTTTTCGGGTACACCTCTGCCTCTCTCCCAGCGACCACTCTGCAGTGAATGTCAAACTCCCCCCACACTGAACACTCTGGGCACTTGCAGTCCCCGAGCCTTTGCTCATGTGGTCCCCTTTGCCTAGAATGCCCTCCCTTTCTCAGCTGAGGAACCTCTTCTCAGTCCTTCCAGAGAGAGCTCTATATCCTGTGTGGGCCAGCACTCAAAATTCGAGTGTAAATTTTTGTGGAACCAGAGGTTCCCCTGGGGAGGTTCCTCCTCTTTTCCCTCATTTTCTGGCCTGTCCTGGGATCACAGAACAGATGGGAATCACACATTCTGTTGGACATCAGCTTATTTTGCTTAAGGACTACTCAAATGTTCACCTGCGGTAGGACCCTCTTAATAAGGCCGATTTTTTAAAAATCTTTATCAGGGTGCCTGGGTGGCTCAGTCGGTTAAGCATCTGCCTTCGGCTCAGGTCAGGATTCCAGGGTCCTAGGATCAAGTCTTCCAGCTCTCTGCCCAGTGGGGAGTCTGCTTCTCCCTCTCCTTCTGCCCCTCCCCACTGCTCACGCTTGCACACATGCGCTCTCTCTCAAATAAATACTCAAAAATAAAAACACTTGTTCAAAATAGCTTCTTTCCATCAACAAGGAACATGTGTGATTTCCTGTGTAATTACAAGACATTTATAAACCAGAACAGAAACTCTGTTAGCTTGATTGCAGGACTTAAGGAAGCGAAGTGTAATTAGCATTGGATGATTCACACCTTGGACCTTGGAACCTGTCCACAAAGGTTTCCACTGTTTGGCTATCACTCCAGGACAAAATCCCCAAGTAAAATACTCTTAGGATTATAATCGGTAACTTCCTGCTTGGAACTAATAAAGTTTTGAAGATTACATCTTGTCTTTTGAACTGGACCCTTGCATTCCTTAATGCCATAGTATCCCTATGGACCATGGCTATGTTATAAACAATTAATGCCTTGTTTGGGGAAGTAAATTTGGCACTCGGGAGGCACTGGTACTGTAGCAAAGGTCTGATTTATCCCAGGCTTGTGGACTGACCATTTTATGGCTGCATCTTGTTCCCAGGGATGTCTAAATCACATACTGGCCTTCCCAGTCCTAAATCCTTGAGAATTAAGACAATTCTAGGAAGTACGGCATGGCGTTTGGGCTAGGAAACAGAGTAGCCCAGGTGACAGGACATGCCTGAGTCCTTGCTGAGTCCTTTGGGAACTTTTGGGACCTAGAGGTGACATGGCGGGACTGGCTGAACGGGGCTCAAGGAAGCTATCTTCTCTGCAGATGACTATTCCTGATGACCTCTCAGTGACCTCCAGTGGTAAGCCATCTTCTGGCTCTTCATGGACCTGACAGCCTTGTGAACGGGCATAGGCCAGGCCAGACATCACTCTCTTGAGTGTTAATCACCCGCCAGGGCCAGGGTCAGTTCCCACAGACTGCTGGTGCAGAGCTGTGGGGCTCAGACATGGGTCAGACTGGATCTGGATGAGACAAAGAAGCTGGAGGCAGAAAGGGTCCTGGGCCCCCTCTGTTCTGTGGTCTCCCTGGCAGAGAAGAGGCATCTGGGAGCCTCACTCTGCCCTCTGATTTTCTTCACTGAGCAAAATCAAACACGAGTAGGTAATCTCATTTTCTTTCAATTCTAAAGCAGTGGTACTTGAAGTGTGGACTCTGGACTAATAGCATCAAAATCCCTTGCATTTGATAGAAATGCAAGCTTTCCAGCCTCACCTCCGCCTACAGATCCAGCAGTCTGTGGTGCAGGGCCTAGCAATCTGCATTGTAATAAGCCTTCTGGGTGTTTCTGCTGCTGCTCAGTCTGAGAACAACCCACCTCACGCATCTTCATGTTCAGTGCTGCTTGGAGGCAGGACAGGCTGGGACAAACAGATGTCTAAATTCTGCAGGCATAGAGATGGAATATTTCTCCTCTTCTATCCATTTAAACTGGCTGCTAAATGTAAAATTGTCAGGTTCTTGTAATTATACATTTGAGGAGGAATAATAAAGGGTGTCAGGCTTCTGAATGGGCGTTTTGAATCATACAGTATAATGAGTTGAACTTTCCAAACATCAGGCCAAAGCCTCCTGTCCACAAAGGGACAAGCATAAAAATAGTTTGGCTGTTTCCAATTGGGACCGAATGGAAACCATGTGGACTCCACCCTCAAGCGATTGGTATGAATCAGCTCAATCTGACTCTTTATTTTGAAACAAGTAGAACTCTTCTACCAAAGACCAAACTCACCCCACAACCAAACACCTTATGACAGTGAAAGTAATTATCGAGTATGGGAAGCTGGGTTTTTTTTTCGTTTGTTTGTTTTACCTGCTTTATGAATTCTGGGAAGCATGAAAATGGTCTGCTCTGACAATAAGCTATAAGGTAAATGTATATTAGATACAGGCTTTTCCTATTGACTCCAGGCACAGGATGCTGGGGAGACAGAAGACTTCAACGGATCCCACTGTCTATCGGATTAAGTGCCAACTCTTGCCTGACTTGCAAAGTCTTCCTCAATGTGACCCACCCTTTTTGCCAGGCTTACCCTCCCACATCCTCTGGTTCCAGCTAAACTTTGTAGGCTTATGGGCTTGCCTTGTTAAACCATCTCTCCCCTCTTAAATCCTTCCACCTATAAGTCCTTTCTTTCCACACATCCATTTAAAGCTCATTCCAGTTCCATTCCCAGTTCCATCCCGGGGGTAAGAATGCCTTTCTCAGAATCTAGGGTCCCTGTTTGACCGTTGGCAGATGCTGCCTTGTGTGGCTATTTGTTTTCCTAGGTGTGCTTCCTGTTTATAAACTACATTCTGGGCCCCCTTGTTATGAGTTCAGTTGTGTTCCCTCCCAAAATTCCTGTGTTGAAGTCCTGACTCTCACGCCCTCCAAATGTAACCTTATTTGGAAATAAGGTCATGGCACATGTGATTAGTTAAGATGAGGTCATACTGGATTAGAAACTGGGCCCCTGATCCAGTATGACTGATGTCCTTATAAAAAGGGCAAAATTGGACACAGACACATACAGGGAGAACGCCTGGGGAACATGAAGGCAAAGGTCAGGGTGATGAATCTGTAAGCCAGGAAACACCAGATTGCCAGCAAACCACCAGAAGCTAGGAGAGAGGCAAGGAACAGACTGTCCCTCCGAACCTCCAGAAGGAACCAGCCCTGCCAACATCTTGATCTTGACTTCCAGGGTCCAGGACCATGACACAATGTATTTCTGTTGTTTAAGGTCAAAAGAGGCAAATCTGATGTTTTTGTGCCAGGTTTTAACAGCTGAAAGGTATTATTGTGACCTGTCCCTCAACATGGCTCTTATTTAAAAGCTGAAGGATGAACAGTTGTATTGTTCTCTTTTTGACTTTTCCCGCAAACTACCTACCTTCCATGGGGGTTTAACTCCTCCAGGGCCTACACGGGGGCGTGGGGGTTTGGAGGTTTGGGGTGGGGGGTGGCACACAGGTGGGGTCATTCATGACTACATTCAGACTCTGTCATCACCTACTGAAGTTACGCATGCATTCTGTGTTTTTATATGTATAAGAAGCGTTAGCTTCTGAAACATAAAGACTTTAGGGGCACCTGGGTGGCTCCAGTGGGTTAAAGCCTCTGCCTTCAGCTCAGGTCATGATCCCAGGGTCCTGGGATCGAGTGCCACATCGGGCTCTCTGCTCAGTGGGGAGCCTGCTTCCCTTCCTCTCTATCTGCCTGCCTCTCTGCCTACTTGTGATCTCTGTCTGTCAAATAAATAAATAAAATCTTTAAAAACAAAACATAAAGACTTTAAAGTATTAACTAATTTCTTTAGCCTTCTTTGCCATTCATTAATTTAAAACTTTTTTTAAATCAGGGAGACTCAATAGATAGAAGTGTCCAGAGCTTTTCTCTAGCCTTGAGAAGCCTTGAAGCTCCCAGACAGATTTGGCCGTTTTGGGCTTCTTGCAATGTCAAGTTAACCACACAGAGGGACGCACACATTCAGCGTTTGTCCTAGTTAACCACTTGCTGTTAGGTCTAGATGCAGAGTCAGAATTAGTGACCCAGCAGTCCTCTGTCCTCAGGTGTCATCTGGCCCATTATAAGGACTGTCCCCGGGACAGCCACCTGCCTTGGAGACACTGACCATCCTTAACCCCACAGGAACCCTCCCGACTCCTCCGAAAGGAATTTTGGTTGACAATATCCCCAAACTGTAACTGTCTAAAACAAATGATAACCTAAACTGGTTCTTCTTTTCCTTTTTTTCTCTTTTGGTAGATTTTCCGAAATCTATTAGCACTATCCAGTGGAAAGACTGTATCTATACCAGACAACAGAGTCAGGTCTGATAAATTGTCTCCCTTTACATTTTCAGTTGGCTTTTTAACTCGCAGGAATCTGTATTTTTCTAATTCAGAGAGATTTCACAGAGAGACAAGGTTAATTGAAGGGCAGGAAAAAGACTACACCACGCGAAAACAGATTAAAATTGAGGAAGAAAAAGGCAAAGGGTAAAGAGCTACATCACAAGGGCCTCTTACCTTCCACACACGAGTTGTAAGGAAAAAAATAAATAAAATGGACTAAAACAAAACAACACCAATTTAGGTTAGCCTAAACCCTCTAAACAGAGTTTGCCAAAGACTATGCTCATGACACAACTAATGATCATCTAGCGCTCTATCTTTATAACCTCAGCATGTGACAGCTGGAGTGAGATTTAGGGAGCTGTGAGTGCGAGTTCCTCAGTTTGCCACTAGGATGCTGAGACACAGGCACAGCTTCCCTACCACTTTGCTGTGAACCTTTAAGACTTGGAGAGCTTCTCGGGGCGCCCGGCTGGCTCAGTCAGAGGACCATGCAACTCTGGATCTCAGGGTCGTGAGTTCAAGTCTCACATTGGGGGTAGAGAGTAGGTACATAAATTAAAAAAAAAAAATATATATATATATATATACATATACATATATACATATATACATATACATATACATATATATATATACTTGGATAGCTTCTTGTTTTGTTTAATCCTGCTCAGACATTTTGGAGTTGGTGATTTCTTAAAACTGCCTCTGACAGACTCTGTTTCTGATTCTGAGCAGTGAGGGTAGGAGAGAAGTCTCCAAACAGAATTTAGTAGGTCCAGCTGGCTCTTTAATGCAGAGACATTCCCAAATCAGCCCACACCCCAGAATCGATTTTGGCTTGCTGAATGTGCCGAAGACAAATCCCTCTGGTGGATATGGCTAAGGTGCTCTGTGTTTGGTTTATAGGAAACCATAAGACACCGGGTCTTCTTTCTCTCCACAGGAGTTTCTCTGTTTGGGTTAGTTACTGTAGTAGCAAGAACTAACAGCCCATGAAAGGTGGAAGGGATTTACAGATGAGGGAAGACGAAGGGAGAGTTGAATCAACAACCACATACCTTTTTTCCTCCTCTCCTTCCCTGAAGTAGTTTTCTGTGTTAGAGTTCCAGGTGCCTCTGTAATCTGGTTCAAAGCCGAACTGCCCCTCTGTTTGGCTGTGTGGAAAAGAAAAAGATGGGGGGGGGGCTGTTCAAAGTTGTATGAATGGGTTTTTATGCACTTCACTATTGATTATTTCCTTCAGTTTATGTACACTTGGGACAGAGATGTTTCTTATAAGAGGATTATCCGACCGACCGATTGTCAAATCCCCTTTGCTTCGGTTCAGTCCTGTCTTTTTCATGTTGCTCTCTCTTCAAAGGCCTAAGGAGAACATTCAACCAAGTAGGCCCCAAGTTCGTCCTAAAGGCCTCATGTAACTGCTATTCATTCCACAGCTGCCCTCTATAAAAAGTGGCTCCAGATATTTCAGATTTGTAAGAATGTAGCAGACACATTTTTGGCATATTTTTTTAAAAAATCTGAGTATGTTATTCTAGAGTCATTCTAGACCTTTCCTTTTCTTTCCTTTCTCATGTGCCTCACATCCCAAGCATCAGGAAATGGGACAGATGTGGAACTTGACTTCCTCTGCCACTTGGGTAAACCCCCTCACTTCCCACCATCACCTCCCACTGGATGACAAGAGCCTCCGAATGGGCCTCCCTGCCTACCACCCCCACCCAGTCTGTTTGCTACACAGATCGAGGGGTCCTTCTCAAACCTAAATAAGTCCTAACTCCTGCTCCTTTGTTGCTAACAAGCCCTAGAGCACTTATCCTTATTAGTGCCCAGGTAACCTGCTGCTGCTTGTGGATAGGCCTTGGGTCCTTGGTGCGGGCTGTTCCCTCTGCCTCGAGTGCTCTCCTCTGTTACAGTTCTGAGTGCTGAGAAATCTTGTTCATACAGATGGAGATAGAATAGGGTTATCAAACTTAGCCCGCCTTGTCCCCCACACATACAGGACATCAAGTTGAATTTAAATGTCAAGTAAACAAAGAATAATTAGTTAAGTATATCCCAAACACTGCATGAAACGTACTTATAATAATCATCTAAAATTCAAATTTAACTGGGTAATCCTAGAAGGAGTTTTATCATAGCGGTATGATTACATTCTTTGAACTCCTGTGTGATAGGCTAAAAAAATCACATTGTGGTGGGGTACCTGGGTGGCTCAGTGGGTTAAGCCTCTGCCTTCAGCTCAGGTCATGATCTCAGGGTCCTGGGATCAAGCCCCCAGTCGGGATCTCTGCTCAGTGGGAAGCCTGCTTCCCCCTCTCTCTCTGCCTGCCTCTCTGCCTACTTGTGATCTCTGTCTGTCAAATGGATAAATAAAATCTTAAAAAAAATTTTTTTTTAAATCACACAGTGGTGGATCAAAATAAAAATAATTTAGAAGGATCTGTCAGTTGATAACTCAATTAAACCCTCTTTCAATTTTCTTAAAACCAAAAATCGGAAGCCCCATGATAGCTAAAAACCGGCATGTCACTGAGTTATCAGAGTCATTCCTTTTCTTTAACACTTCCACTAAAATTTTGAATTGTCTCCATTTTTGCACCCAAGGGAAGACAATGTCTGCTCTGATACTGCATGTGAAAAGAAGCGTCCCTTTCTTTTGCAAAGTAGAATGATTGTGACCCGGGATATTAACCAGGAGTACTGGGTCCTTATGAAAGTTCAGAATCTGGACATTTCTTTAAAACAATCCACACATCCTCGAACACATCCCCCCCGCCTCGGTTTTCACATACTCTGTGTCTTAGTGCGTTTGGGCTGCTAGAACAGAATACCATAGGCCAGGTGGCTTCTGAACAACATTCATTCATTTCTCACAGCTCTAGGGAAGTTCGAGATCCAGACACCAGAGGATCTGGAGTGCGGTGAGAACCTCTTCCTGATTCACAACTGGCCATCTTCCTGTCATAACCTCACATGGCAGAAAGGGTGAGGGAGCTCTCTGGGCTCTCTTTTATGAGAGCACTAATCCGGTTCAAAAGGGCTCTGCCCTCATCACCTAATGACTTCCAAAGGCCCCCTCCTCCAAAACCATCACCTTGGGGATTAGAACTTCAACATATGAATTGGGGGCGGGACACAATATTCAGTCTCTAGTACCCCTGCTTCATGACAAGAGCTGCAAAGGACAGGGACCAGGCTTGGTCCAGGAGTCGGGCAGGCTGAGCACAGATTGGTGTGGATGGCAGGTCAAGTTCCTCGGCTCAAGAGTCACATTTTGGGGGTGGAGGGGTTGTTCCTGTGACCAGAAGAGGGCTGGAAATATTCCATTATTATTATTATTATTTTGCCTCCTGTGCTTCTTTTTTCATTTATGACTCTGCCCCTGGCTAAGAAATGAAATCAAGATGGGAAAACGAAATGTGCCTGAGCAGAGGTCTATCCATCCAGCTCCGAAATACGAAGTACTTTTACTCTGGGCAGGTATGGACGTTACTGGTATGGACTACGTGTTTGTAATCCCCAAATATTCCGATGTTGGGTCCCCAGTGTGGCCGTAGTTAGAGATGGGGCCCCCAAGGAAGTCATGAAGGTTAAATGAGTAGGACCCTGATCAGATAGGGTTAGTGTTCTAACTGGAGAGTCGCTAGAAAGCTCTGCCTCGCTCGCCCTCTGCTGACACACCTGGGAAAGGCCACGTGAAGACACAGCACGAGGGCGCCCTCTGCAGGCCAGGGAGAGAGCTCTCACCAGGAACAGACCCCGCAGGCACTCTAATCTGGCGCTCGGGGCTCCCAAAACTGCGAAAAATGAATCTGTTTAAGCCGCCCAGCCCGTGTTATTTTGTTACGGCAGCCAGCGCAGACTAATACAGTTACCCAAGAGGATGCAGAAGAGCTAAAATGTACCAGCTGACCTCCCTAAAAATCAAGGTTCGAGCGAATGAATAATGAGAGAACTTCACAGAGGTTCTGCGAGCTGACCACTGACCACAGGGCCCAGCCCATCTGGGGCAGCTTCCACCCTGTTCCGGGCTGTGGTGAAGGATGACAGGGCAGGCACTCCCGGAGGTCAGCTCTGCCTCTCGCTTGCTTGGCTCTCTGGGAAAACAAATCCAGAACCCTTCAAATCAAGCCTTCATGCTACTTTGGGCAGAACCCCACTAGATAGAACAACCAGACTAGGAGACCTCCACGTTTCCTCCCCACACCCTGTCCCTTCTTTGCCTTTCCAATCCCACACCTCACACCTGGGCCTGCCTGCCCCATACCAATCCCTTGAGACAGTGCTTTTATATTGCCAATTCTTTTTCTTTCCTTTTCTTTTTTTAAAAAAGATTTATTTATTTGAGAGAGGGAGTATGTGTGTGTGCACACACATTCAATTATTTTTCTTAAAAGACACAGATTTACTTGGTTATTTCGGTCCTGAAATTACAAAACAGGACCTCATAAATAGGACCCTGGTGCCAGTCTTGTAAAAATAGCAGAGGGAAAGTCGTATTTGGATAGCAAACATTGTTTTCCAGCTTCCTTTTGTATATGTATTGGGTTGACTGAAATGTCAAACTCAACAAATAACCTATAGAATTCTGATACCAGGAAAGTTCCTAAAGGGAAGATAACTGTTGTATTTATGAATATCTCATAGTTATAAGTTTTTTGTACTCACTTCCACAAAGCAGCCTTGTCTTCAGCTCTTTTAATAGTGCAAGTCAGTGAATCCTTTTTTAAATTGAGATAAAATTAACATGTAACATTCTATTATTTTCAGGTGTATGACATAATGACTTGATATTTGTATATATTGTGAAATGTTCACCACGGTTAGTTAACGCCTATCACAACACATGGTCACAAATTTTGTTCCTTGTGATAGACCTTTTAAGATCTACTCTCTTGGCAACTTGTTCTTTTTAAGATTTTATTTTGTAAGTAATCCCTCCACCCAACGTAGGGCTCGAACTTACAACCCCTGAGATCAAGGGTCGCACGCTCCACCGACTGAGCCAGCCAGGCGCCCTAATGCAACTTCCAAATATACAATACAATATATTTAACAGTGGTCCCCATGCTGCACATTAGCATCGAGCTCTTTATTTTCATTTTTTCCCAGCAAGTAGAGCGACTGTGTTCGCCAACATGCCTCAAGTTTACTCTCCCGGAAAAAGGTTGTTATGATGATGATGATGACGGTAACGATGATAATTAGTGTCCCTCAAGTACTTACTACATGCCAGGCTTCATGCTAACCGCGTCACGTTACACCACTTCCTCCTCACTGAACACTCTGAGGTAGTTACGTTTATTTTGTAGCTGAAGAAGCTAAAGTTAGATCAGTTTGATGATTTGCCCAAACTAATGCACAGCTGGGGTAGGATTTGGACGCAGACCTGATTCTAAGTCTGTGCTGTTGGCCACTTGCTATAGTTTCTGTTAACAATGATTCAAAGTAGTCAGCTTTCAAATGGGCCATGAACATGTGTATTAGGGATCTATTAAAAGAAATGATCAGGCTTCTATAAGGGAGTAAGCACCTGTTGTTCTTGTCTGTCCTGTATCTGTCCTCCTCATCGGCCTGCTTCTTGGACGGACCACCACTCCGCTCCCTGGCAAATCACAGGGTTCTGGTTTGGATGCCCACCAGTATGCTCCCCCTCTCCCCCTGGTGGCTATGTGATCAGTCCTGGTTAATTATACCTTAGCGCATCCTGTGCTGTAGGGACTGGTCCGAGGTATGCATGTGACCCAAGGAAGGCCAGCAAGAGCCTCCCTCGGGGATCTGACCCACAGTCACTGGAAGACAGAGGCTCACACTTTCCGGCTGATAATCAGTCATGATGTTAGCGCCCTGGGACAGCCGGCAGACGTGTCAACTGCTCTTTCCTGCCTGGAGAAAGGCTGACCACACTGGGATAGAAGGCCCACACTCGGAAGGGAGGCTGAGTCAAAAGCAGCAAACTTGGGGTCTCCTGATGACATCATATGAGCCCCTCAGTTCAGCTGTCTCTGAAGACAGCTGCGGACGTCTCAGTTATGTGAGCCAATAAGCCCCTGTTTACCTTGAATTCTGCCTGGGTGGTTCTCACTCCGAACTGAAGAGTTGTGAGTAACATGCCGTACTAGTTCCCCACTGCAGCTAGAACAAATGACTGTAAACTTAATGGGTTAAAACAGTATAAGTCTATGACCTTACAGATCTGGAGGTCCCAAGTCCAACATGGGTCTCACAATCAAGGCCTTGGTGGACTGTGTGTCTTTTAGTGGCTCTGGGGAAGGATTCCTTGCCCTGCCCTTTCCAGCTCCTCGAGGCCACCTACATTCCTTGGCTGGCTGCTGGCCCCTTCCTCCCATCACTCCAACCTTTCCTTTCACGGTCACATCTCTTGCAAAAGTCTCTTCGCAAAGACGCTGTGATGACACTGGACCCACCCAGAGAGTCCAGGATAAACCCCTGTCTCAAGGCCCTTAATGTTATCATATCTGCACAGTCCCTTTTGCCACGTGAGGTAACGTAATCACCAGTTCTGAGGAGTAGGACAAAGACATTGCTGGGGGCCCATTATTCTGCTCTCATTCAGACTCAGGAAAAAGAATTTCCACTGACCACTAGGAAGGTTACTTTTAAAAAAATATATATTTTATTTATTTATTTGACAGAGATTACAAGTAGACAGAGAGGCAGGCAGAGAGAGAGGAAAGGAAGCAGACTCCCTGCTAAGCAGAGAGCCTGATGCGGGACTCGATCCCAGGACCCCGGGATCATGACCTGAGCCGAAGGCAGAGGCTTTAACCCACTGAGCCACCCAGGTGCCCCTAGGAAGGTCACTTTTAATTGCAAAGCAGTTTCCTTCTTTTAGGTAGGCCCAAAGAGTGGAGGGTCCAGGTCCCCAGCACTCACCCTGCAGCTGATGAGGGGGACTCCCAGGGTCTGGTGGGGCCGTGGCCGGCTGTTCTCTCCCCTGCATCTCTGCATACTCTGCGATGGGTCTGAGGAGAGCCAGAGCTCCGGAACATTGTAAGAAATTGCCGTCGAGGTGCAGCTCACTGGGGAGGGGTGAAATACACTGGTCATTTGATGTTATTTTTACCTCTGCAAATGTGGCTTTGAGGTCTTCACCTCATAAAATACTAGACCTGGTTATAAAATAGTAAATAATCATAATAGATAGTAGACCACATTGTAAAAAACAGACCTAGGGACCATGTCATAGGGCCCAAAACATGCCTGTAGCACAATACCCTTGATTCTCAAGTGTAACTAAAGGATCTTTCTCTTATCATTAAGAAAAAGAAAACAAAAATAACTGGAGGGTAGAAAAAGAAGGCTACAAACATAGTGAGAAGAAGCTGGGAGGAATTGGTGGGTTAGCGGATTTCGCAACCAAGCTGGTTAGGTAACTGAAGACAGAAGGTGGGAGGCGAGCAGGGGGTGTGTCTCACCTGATGGCGGTCTGGCATATGACGGTACCCAGCCGGGGTCCACTCTGTGGCCCCAGGCCACAGTAGCGCAGACTGAGGGCTTGAAGCCTCTGGTTGTTCTCCAGGCCTGAGAAAAGACTCTCAACTTCTTCCTTTCCAAATCTAGAAAGAAATGATGGCAACAAATAAGTGACTTTTATAAAATCTATGTCACCTGTTGGATAATTCATTTTAAGGGACTCCCTACGGCGGAACAGATTTTACGGGATCTTTACTTTGGGTTTCCACGGCCGGGGCTAAGGGGGTGAGCTGGGTGACTGGGGGCGGGGGTAGCCTGCATGTGGAAGAAGGGGAACCCAGAATCTGTTTCCCAGGGGAAGGGAGCAGGGCACGGTTTGAAGTACCCATTCAAGGGAGGAGATAGAGAGTGAGATCTGGACCTGGAAGACAGGAGAGATTGCCTAGCTGGTAGGGATGAAGGGGTCTGGGAAGATCCTAGCAGCAGGAGGCTGTGTAAGGAGAGAGCAGGGTCTGGGGAAAATTCAATCTCTTGGCCCTCCTTCCTGGCCCTGTCTTGCCCCTCACCTTCTCACCTAGTCCTTCGACTTTGTGAAGAGCAGTCACGGGCATCACGCCCACGCAGCCTCTGGGTATAGGCATTAGGTCAGGAAACTGAGCAACAATGAGGTAGAGGGACATCTTCCGCACATTTGGAATGTCAGTGTCTGAACTTTCAAATGAGGTGCATCGTATTAACAGAAATGACTTCTTCAATTTACTAGATCAACCAACAAGTAGTTACAGAAGGCAGCTACTGTGGTGGGTGTGGGGAGGCAGCTGCATATGAGAAAGAAGGGAATCCTACCTGGTGGGCTGCAGAGCCTCCCAGAGAAAACCGGAGGGAAGTCCCCAGAGGCCAAGAACCTACAGTTTTACCAGTGCTGAGGTCTCAGTGGTGATTCCCAACCACCCAACCCTGATACTCACGGTGTCTCGGGAATAGCCAGATTTCAACTGACAATGAAAATAAGCTGTTTTGGGGCACTGGGTGGCTCAGTGGGTTAGGCCTCTGCCTTCAGCTCAGGTCATGATCTCAGGGTCCTGAGATGGAGCCCCGCACTGGGCTCTGGGCTCAGCATGAAGTCTGCTGGAGACTCTCTCCCTCTCCTTCCACCCTCTCCTCTTTCCCTGCCCCTCCCAGGTGATTAAAATAAGTTTTTTCCTAACATTGGGGATTCCTTTTTTCTCCCTTCTGTCTTCCTGCCAGTGTAGGTCTCTGGGTCCAGCGCAAGAGCTGGAGTCCAGAAGGGTCTCAGCAGGGGGGCTGGTTCTGCCCAGTGCAGTGTGGGAAGCTGGGAGACTCCCAGGCTGATCCTCAGTCACTACTGGGTGTCCTGAGGACACTGGCCTTCTGCTGTCCTGTGTTAGGAAACCCTGACTGAGGCTCCCCCAAGCGTCTCAGAAACATGGAGAAACTCCAGAGATAGTCCCTCTCCTCAGCTTTTGTGAATAGACTTGTCTCCACCAGGGCCCTAATCCCTAATCCCACATCACATAAACAGGTTGAAATTATTTATGGATGGCACACTATAAGACCCCCCAGCAGTGTAGTATCACAGATCAGAAGTGGGCTCAGATTGAGGCAGCTGGATTCACATCCAGCCTCCATCCCTAATAGCTGAATGGCCTTGAACAAGCCAGTTAATCCCCCTGAGTCTTTCCTCATCTGTACAGAGTCAAGGGATAGAAATGGTACATACCTGTCATTATATATCCTACGTTCATCCGTAATGGTACATATCCCTCTGCTGTTGGGAGAGTCAATGACATAAACTGTGCACTGTGCTTGGCACCCAGTTAGCACTCGATAACAATTTGCTGGTATTATTATTATTATTATTATTACCCCCGACCCCCCCTCACAAGACTGGGCTCTTTTCTTCCCTAACCCCACACCTTTCCTCCCACCTCCACTCCTGGTGAATAATGGCCTGTCCTGAATGGGGTCATGGTTCCCCTTGTCCAAACCACCACTAAAATCTATATGGACATTTTTTGTGACACCAGGCTTTCTTTTTTTTAAAGATTTTATTTTATTTATTTGACAGACAGAGATCACAAGTAGGCAGAGAGGCAGGCAGAGAGAGAGTGGGGAAGCAGGCTCCCAGCTGAGCAGAGAGCCCGACACGGAGCTCCATCCCAGAACCCTGAGATCATGACCTGAGCTGAAGGCAGAGGCTCAACCCACTGAGCCACCCAGGCGCCCTGACACCAAGGCTTTCTACCTTGTATTACATGTAACCTAGAGCACGTTCCACATAGTCCTCTCTACTATCCCGAGGGCTTCCTTGCTCAGGGCCATTGCCTTATATGTATTTGTATCTTCCTTAGTGAAGAGCACAGTGTCTTGCACAAACAGGCCATCAACAAATATTTGTTGACAGAATAAATGAATAAAAGGAAAGTAAGGAAGGAGGAAGGAGGGGTGGAAAGGAGAGAGGGAGGAAGAAAGGAAAAATGAATGAATAAAGCCTCTTTTTGAGAACCCTGACATTTACTCAGGAACATTAGCTCTAAGGAGGTTTTGGAGTATCCGCTTCCAGCGATGACCAGATGAGGCACAAGGAACCAGGCCACTGCCCTCCCTGCCTTTGCCTCCCTCAGCCAAACAGCAGCAGAGCCCTGAAGGAAGCCTGCATTCCAGCCTCACCTGCTGTAATCGAGGATGAGAGAACGCAGATGGCTGCATGGCAGAGCCCTCCCGAGTCTCTGGAGAGACCACAGATCCATCCTGCAGTCAGTGAGCTCCAGGCTGGTAAAGGGGCTGGTGGCACTCCCCTTCAACTCCAGAAGTGAAGCCTAGGAACGCGAGGTGAAACCATGCTCACGCAAGGGAGACAATGTGCTCTGTGTTTTCATGTAACCCAAAAGTCCATTATGTTCATTACCTCAACAGTTTGCCTTTAGGACAACTTTCTAATTCCCCCAAGGAGAAAGTGGCATGAAAATAAAATAACTGCCCTTTAAAAGGCAATGTGAAGAATTAAATGGGAAACACCAAGCTTTGTGATGAGATGAGATATACTGCAGCTCATCTTTCTCTGTCATTGGGGGCTGAATTGTGTCCCCCCTCATTCATACATTGAAGTCCTAACCTCAGAATGTGACTGTATTTGGAAACAGGGTCTTCAAAGAGCTACCTAAGTTAAAATAGGGTCTTCAGGGTGGGTCCTAACCCAGTAGGACTGGCTTTCTTTTTTTTTTTTTTTTAAAGATTTTATTTATTTATTTGTCAGAGAGAGAGAGAGAGTGCGAGCGAGCACAGGCAGACAGAATGGCAGGCAGAGGGAGAAGCAGGCTCCCCACAGAACAAGGAGCCCGATGCGGGACTCGATCCCAGGACGCTGGGATCATGACCTGAGCCGAAGGCAGCTGCTTAACCAACTGAGCCACCCAGGCATCCCTTTTTTTTTTTTTTTTTTTTTAAAGATTTTATTAGGACTGGCTTTCTTATAAGAAGGAAATCTGGACACAGATATGTACAGGGGGAAGACGTGAAAATACAGGGGAAAGGCGGCCATTTGCAAGCCAAGAAGAGCAGCCTCAGAAGTCACCAACCCTGCTGACACCTTGAGCTCAGACTTCCAGGCCTTCATAACTCTGAGGAAATGAGTTTCTGTTGTTTAAGCCGTGCAACCTGTGGTTATGGTAGTCCCAGCAGACTAATACAGATGTTGATATTCTAACCCACAGATTTGTCCTCCTAGGGTTGTGTCCTTTCAATAGGGAAGTGCCGCCACGCCAACCTTTGTATAACTAGGCAAAAATTATAATAGTCAGATTACCTCCTAAGTATTCATTGTTACTGGTATTAGGATTTAGAGGTCTCCTCAAAATTACACCACACAGGGGCGCCTGGGTGGCCTAGTTGGTTAAGTGTTGGACTCTTGATTTTAGCTCACGTCATGGTCTCGGGGCCATGGTCTCAGGGTCCTGGGACGGAGCCCCATGTCGAACTCCGTGCTCAGCAGGGAATCTGCTTCTCTCCTCCTCTCTCTGTCCCTTCCCGTGCTCAAACTCTCTCTCAATCTCTCTAAAATAAAATCTTAAAAAAAAAAAAAAAAAGAGCTAGACCATGGAAATTTACCAACAAGTTGTTTCTCATGGTGAAGCCACAGGCCTGGGGGCAACACATGAACATTTGGAACCATGTCAAGGTCTCTCAGTCTCCTGAACAGAGAGGCCTATGGCAAGGACATTTTTTGTGGTAACAAAGGATCCCAGTGACAACTAAATCCTTACCTGACAGAGGGAGGTATTTAAAGCTACAAATCACAAAGGCCACCTTTTAGCATTGAGAATCACCACAACCTAAGGATTTCTTCAGTTCAGAATTTAAACCTAAAAGAGGCTTTGGTGGGGTCGGAAGGATTTAGGGTTTCCTGAGGCAATGACATGTTGGTCAGAGATAGGGTTCCAAATTATAGTTTGGCTGAGAATATAAGAGCCCTTGCAGCCTTAACCACAGAGCTGGCGTTTGAGGTCTCTTTTATGAGAAAACACCTAGCCAAAGTGCTGGGTTGGATTTCGCAAGCTGTGTTTCTCACAGAGGAGGCAGTGTGGGACGTCACTGTCTATGGTAACATTGGTCTGTGCAAAACAGACTCTCGACCCAGGTCCCGACGGTCTTAACCAGTGGTTTGCAGTGTCACTCCTGGGGCACTAGGCCTGTGTGGGCAAGACCACAGCCATCGACCACAGAATTCCTCAACGGCCTCCAGGTGACCAAGAGGGCTACATTTTAAAGAACTGCTAAGGATCACTGTTGATATGCACGGACAGCATACTATGGCCTGCTTAAATGGACTGGGTCCCTGGACTGACACTTTCAATAAAAACTATAAATTCTTGTTATGCATTAAAGATACCTTTTTAAAAATTTAGTTTGAATTGTGGTCAAATACACAGATAAAATTTACCATCTTAACCATTTTTGGGGTACAGTTCAGTGGCATTAAAGACATTCACTGTTGTTGTACAACCCTCAACACCATCCATCTCCAGAACTTTTTTCATCTTGTAAAACTCAGACTCTGTACCCATTAAAAAATAACTCCCATTCTCCCCTCCCCGACAACATCTGGCAACCGCCATTTTATTTTCTTTCTCTATGAGTCTTAACTACTCTAGGTACTTCCTATAATACAATGATATAGTATTTGTCCTTTTGTGACTGACTTATCTCACTTAGCATAAGTTCCTCAAGGTTCCTACATGTAGCCTATGTCACAACTTCCTTCCTGTTAAAGGCTGAATAATATTCTATTGTATGTATATCCAACATTTAGTTTTCTACTCATCTGTTAATGGACATTTGGATTGCTTCCACCTTTGGCTATTGTGAATAATGCTACCATGAAGATCAGTGTACAAATATCTTTTTGAGATCTAGCTTTCAATTCTTTGGGGTAGATGTCCAGAAGTGGGAATTGCTGAATCATGTGGTAATTCTATTTTTAATTTTTTACAGGAACTTCAATCCTGTTTTCCATAGTGGCTACACCGATTTACATTCCCACCAACAGTGCACAGGTTTTCCTGTGCTGTCCATGTCCTGTCAACACATTATGTTCTATTTTTTTTATAGTAGTAGCCATACTACTATATGAGATACTACCTCATGCCATACTAGTTGACATGAGGTAGTATCTTATTGCAGTTTTGATTTGCATTTCCCTAAAGATTAATGTTGAACATCTTTTGTGTGTTTATGATTTATTTGTATCCCTTCTTTGGAGAATGTTTACTTCAGTCCTTTACCCATTTTAAAATGAGGTTGTTTGTTTTTTGTTGTTGTTGAATTGTAGGATAAAGAAATTATGGTATATTCATATAGTAGAAAACGATATAGGGGCACCTGGCACCTTAACTGGGCTCAGTCAGTTAAGCGTCTCACTCTTGATTTCAGCTCAGGTCATGATCTCAGGGTCATGGGATGGAACCATACATCAGGTTCCATGCTCAGTGCAGAGCTTTCTTGTCCCTCTCCCTCCCCCACTTGTGCTCTCTCTCCCTCTCTTGAATAAATAAATAAAATCTTTAAAAAAACTATATAGCAATGAAAATGCATCAACTATAGCTATACAAAAGTAAAATATGATGACTCATAAAAACATATTGTTGTACAGGCAAAGAGAAACACAAAAGAATGCATACTGTATGTTGCATTTTATAAAGTAAAAAACAGGTAAACCTATAATGTTTGATAACCAAACATTATAGGTTTACCTGTTTTTTTGTACTTTTTTTTTAAGATTTTATTGATTTATTTGAACAGAGAGAGAAAGAGATCACAAGTAGGCAGAGAGGCAGGGGAAGCAGGCTCCCCATAGAACAGAAAGCCCGATGTGAGGCTCGATCCCAGGATCCTGAGATCATGACCTGAGCTGAAGGCAGAGGCTTTAACCCACTGAGCCACCCAGGCGCCCCTGTGTTTTTGTACTTTTACATAACTTTGAAATGTTTCATTAAAAGATACATTGTTTTTTTAAAAAAGAAAAGCTTAGAGCATATCAGTCAACAACCAAATGAACTATAGCTGGAATACATGCTATTATGCTTATATTCAATTTTAAGTTTAATTGAAGGAATACTTCTAAAACGCATGACTCACCAGTCTGGCAATCTCTGGGTTGCTCAGTTGAAGGCTCCAGATACAGATCTCTTTCCCCAGCATATAACACTCATCTCGAATTGTCATGAGCAAAGGTTCTAAGGAAATGGGTAGGACGCTTGTTGGGGAGTCTTCAGGTCTTACAAGCATAAACTGGAGTGTCAGAAAAAAAAGTACAGGTGGGAATCATAAAGAGATGTCCATGCATAGAGAAAGAGTGCTGTCATCAGACAGTACCAGAACATTTGGAAAAGGCAATTAGCTTTGGGTCACACGTGCACTGGGTGGTAATTCAATACAAGCTTATGAATTTCTTGCCATATGCAAAAGCAATCTTACAGGGCACAGATTTTTCCATCAGGTTTCTACTCATTATTGGGTCAGAAATTAATTGTGTAGGTTGTAACCAGCTTTTTTCTCTCTTTCTTTAATGAAATAGAACAGAAGAAAAATTATCTGAGCGTATCCTATGCAGTAAAAAAATAATTATCTCATGAGACTCTTACTTTAGTGATGCTCAACATCAAAATGGAGACCCAACGAGAGCACCCCCCCCAACATAAACAGCCCATATGGTCTTATGATTCACACCAGTATTTATACATCAGGTCCTGATGTTATTTGCATTTCTGATAGTGATTTTAATTTAAAATGTTTAGAAAGGGACTACAAATTTGAAACATTTAATTTAAAATGTTTGCTGAAGGGACTACAAATTTGAACAAGGTTTATGATGAACTCTTATCATTAAGTAGTAGAGGCTAATTATAAGATGTACAATAGAAAAAAAATAAAGTTGTAATTATTTTATCACAAAAAGATGGCTCTGAGAAGCTCTTGCCCTGGGATGAGCAGGGAGATGTATGGGGGAGTCCAGAGAAGCAACTAACTACAAGAGAAGGAATTAGAAAGACCTAGGAGGACAGAGAGGACAGGAGACTTTTCTCTCCTAGGAGAGAGAAAAGTCTCCTGTCCAAAGGGGTGAACGGGGAGAGGGAGGTGGCAGCTCCCTTGGGAAGTGGAAGTTTGGCAAAAAGGGATGGTGGTTAGGGAGGACTTTCAGAGGTTCTTTTTATGTGGGGTACAATGTAATCACCCTCCCATCCCCCAAAAAACTTCAGGAAAAATATGGGTAGGATGGATCTGGGTCAAAGTCTCCTTAGAATAATGATTATTTTTCGGCACCCATCTCTAATTACTTTAACTTATTCTCTTGGTTAGCGCTCAGCATTTTAGGACACCAGTAGGTGTTTGATTATTATAATACAGACTGTCTTTCTGGGCTGGCCACAGGAAAGCTGGAGAGCTTTCCTGTCTGTCCTTGAGTTCGAGCACTGCCCCCTCCCCCCACTTCTAGACTAGCAGGCACCCCTTCCCAAAAGTAGACCATTTCATTTCAGGGCTGGCCTCTCTTCTTTCCCCCTCCCAATCGACCCCTAGAGTCAATCTCAGAAAAGATATGACACCTGATTTTTTTGTTCTGAAATCCTGTACTTTGGGAGTTAGAATTGTGTTTGCTGATCTCACTCCAAGTGAGAGGGGAAGGATAGGTGAGTACGGGGGTCTGGCCTGATGACAGGGACACCACTGTCGAGGGAAGCAAACATTCCCTTGGAGGGATCCCATGGGGTGGTGGGAGTGCTGGGCATGGATGTCCTGCCAGATGCCCAAAGTGGTCTTCTGTGCGGGACTTTTCAGAGGTAGAGTGGGAGGGGCTGGTTGGCCACTCCAGGTGTGGTGTAAGAAAGGGCAGTGCGGCTCAGAGGACTGGGGTGGGTAGATTCGAGGGAGAAGCAGGGAGGCAGAAGTGCTGAGCAGAGGCCCAGTGCCAGGAGCAGGCTTCGGACTTCAGACAGGCAGGCAGGCAGGAACACAGAGCGATGACTGAGGACCCATGTTCTTGGGGCAAAACCCTAGTCCGTTCACTTCCCAGAGGAGTAAGCAAAGGAGGCCACACACTCACTTTCCTAAGAACCTGTTCGTTGTTGATGCTGGTTTTCAAGTCCTGTCTGATGGCTGGACACACAGATGTCTGCGTCTGGGCACAGTGCTTTTCATACGTTTTCAGGAACTTCCGAAGAATTGGAACGATGGGCAGGGGTGTTCCTTTAGTTTTTTGTTTTCCTTCCTTGTCCCTTGGCATTGTTTTACTGTGTTAGATTCTACCTGGATTCTGAAAATAGCACCTTGCCCTGAAACCCAAAACACAGATGTCTTTTGAAGGAGCAGATCACATATCCCCCACTAAAAATTGGCAAATATTGCTGACACCCTTCTCTGCTTAAAGTGCCTCAGGTATCTTAAAACGGGAGAAGGGAATCAAGATGGATACCGCTGAGTAAAACTGTTCTATTTCCAGTATCTATTTTCATGGATCCATGTTCTTTTAGATTCTTTAAAATGGGGCAATAGGGGCACCTAGGTGGCTCAGTCATCAGGCATCTGCCTTTGGCTCAGGTCATGATCCCTGGGTCCTGGAATCGAGTCCTGCATTGGGCTCCCTGCTCAGTGGGAAGCCTGCTTCTCTCTCTGCCACTCCCCCTGCTTGTTCTCTCTCTCTCTCTCCCTCCCTCTTTCTCTCTCTCTCTCGCTATGTCTCTCTCTGGCAAATAAATAAAATCTTTCAAAATATAAAATAAAATGGTGTGATACCCTTGGAACTCAGTCATAACATTAATGGTGGGCACTAAATATTGCCAAGGACATATTGATTTTTAAATGGCATAGTTCTCTTTATAGACATAATTCTTGCCAGGCAGCATATCCACAGGGGTTAAGAATGCGAGCTTTGAAGGGGAACAGACTTGGATTTTAGTCTTGTCTCCACCACTGGACTCACTGGGGTGGACTTAGGTATTTTTTTTTTAAAGATTTTATTTATTTATTTGACAGACAGAGATCACAAGTAGGCAGAGAGGGAGGAAGGGAAGCAGGCTCCCTGCCAAGCAGAGAGCCTGATGCGGGGCTCGATCCCAGGACCCTGGGATCATGACCTGAGCCGAAGGCAGAGGCTTTAACCCACTGAGCCACCCAGGTGCCCCGGACTTAGGTATTCTATGAAGAGTTTTGAAGCCTCTACTTCTCCATCTGTAAAATGGATTATGGTTGTCACCAGGATTAAGGAATGTAAATTTATAAAGCACTTAGTACAATGCCTGGCACATAGTAAAAGTGCTCAATAAACTTTATTAGTACTATGAAGTGATTCTTATTTTCCTGGCCACAGGAAGCCACCCAGCAGTAATGATCTGTCCCTTCAATTATCCAGCCTTGAAAGGTCCCTCCATGTGATAATGTCACCAGCTAGAGCTCTTCTTTCTGGAGTACCATTTCTTAAAAAAATTAACATATAATGTATTATTTGCTTCAGGGGTACAGGTTTGTGAATCATCAGTCTTATACATTTCACAGCACTCACCATAGCACTTACCCTCCCCAATGTCCATCATCCAACCACCCTATCCCTACCCCCTCACCCCCCCCACCCCGCCAGCAACCCTCAGTTTGTTTCCTGAGATTAAGAGTCTCTTATGGTTTGTCTCCCTCCGGATCCCATCTTGTTTCATTTTTTCCTTCCCTACCCCCTACCCCACCCCCCCGCCTCTCAAATTCCTGATATCAGAGAGATCATATGATAATTGTCTTTCTCTGATTGACTTATTTCACTTAGCATAATACCCTCTGGTTCCATCCACATCGTTGAAAATGGCAAGATTTTGGTTTTTTGATGGCTGCGTAGTATTCCATTGCAGATACACACCACATCTTCTTTATTCATTCATCTGTTGATGGACATCTAGGCTCTTTCCATAGTTTGGCTGTTGTGGACATTGCTGCTATAAACATTGGGGTGCACATCACTACATTTGTATCTTTAGGGTATATACCTAGTAGTGTGATTGTTGGGTCGTAGGTCAGGCAAATGAAACCTGAAACCACCCTCAGGTGACTGGCAAGGGCCTTGACAACACCTCCCAGACCACCCAGACTGTTTGAACTAAACCGGTGACTCACTTCCGCTCAGATGGGGGGTAGTAACCTTCGGAATGCCTGGCAATGACCTTTACCTCATTATAATACTAAAATCTCCACCCAAGGAAGGGCCTCAGCCTCATTTACATAACAAACAATGTCTGTATAGGCGTGTTTCCTTAATGTACATGTGGGACCTTATGCCTGCCTCTACACATGATGACAAGGCCTCCCTATCTAAATATTCATCCTAACCCTAAACAAAAGGAACCCGTCCCCACCTCCCTGTCTGTCTCTCTTTCATCCAGCTTTGAAAGCTATTTCCTGTGATCTCATTATTTGCTGCAAATAAAGTTTACTTTGTGGGACAACTCCACCTGGTTTATCTGTGACTCACCGAGGAGCTAGCAACTCCGAGCTAGCAACTCCGAATTCGTTTGGTCACAGTAACTTAAGGAAATGGTTGGTTCTTTGATCTGGGTTCACAGAGACAAAAGTTTATGGGAATTATTAAGAGGCCTTGTTTCAAGAAGAACCAGTTTGAATCCTGTGTCTGTCAATTATTAGTAGACTGACTGTGACTAGTCCACTTCATGTGCCTGAACCCTGTCTTCTTCATCTGTAAAAATTGTGGGACTATAATCTCTTTGGTATTTGTGGGGATTTAATGCAAATTAAATGTAAAGTTCTTTCCTTGGTACCAAGGGGATGTTGATGGATGATGATGATGATGATGATGATAAAGAACTATTATGAGGGGGCGCCTGGGTGGCTCAGTGGTTAAGCCTCTGCCTTCAGCTCAGGTCATGGTCTCAGGGTCCTGGGATGGAGCCCTGCATCGGGCTCTCTGCTCAGCGGGGAGCTGGCTTCCCCCTCTCTCTCTGCCTACTTGTGATCTCTTTCTCTGTCGAATAAATAAATAAAATCTTAAAAAAAAAAAAAAGAACTGTTATGAGGAATAAGGAATTAGTTCCCGGTGGATACTTGGAACAGAGTCTGGCACATAGTGATGGCTCAGGTGGGGAGGCTGAGGCCTAGTGAGGGAAGTGATTTGCCTAAGGGCAAACACTGGTAACCAGAGCAGCTGGGATTCAAATTCAGGCAGCCTGGCTCCACAGCCCAAATTCTTAACCACTCTGACATACCACCCTAGAAGGTACTGATACTGACTGTATGTTTTCAATTTCCTCCTAAATTCTTATGTTGAAGCCCAACCCCCAGGGTGATGGTATTTGTTTGATAGGGTCTTTGGGAGGTGAGCAGGGTTAGATGAGGTCATGAAGGCAGGTCTCCCACCATGGGATCAGCGCCCTTGTAAGAAGAGACACAGAGTGGGGCACCTGGGTGGCTCAGTGGGTTGGGCAACTAACTCTTCATTTCACCTGGAGTCCTGATCTCAGGGTCATGAGAAAGAGCTCCAAGTCGGGCTCCATGCTCAGCCTGGAGTTTGCTTCACATTCTCTCCCTCTGCCCCCACTCCCACACTCTTTCTCTCTAAATAAACAAATAAATAAAATCTTTAAAAAAGAAGGAAAAGAAGAGGAAGAGACACCAGAGAGCTTAGTTTGTCTCCCTTGAGATGGCTGCCACCGCCAAGCCAAGAGAAAAGGCTCCAAACCTAGCTTCTTGGCACCTTGCTCTTGGATTTCCCAGTCTCCAAAAGTGTTAGGAAATGAATTTGTTGTTTAGGTCACCAGTCTATGGTATTTTGTTAAGGCAGTCCAAGTTAAGGTTGGTACTATGTAACATCACTGTTCACAATACGAAGTATTTCTCACCAGCCTCTTCTGGGTATTTACAGGAGTACAAACTACACGCATAACATTCTGGAAGTACTCTATTAAGGCCCTCTTAAATCTCGAGCTTTTCACTTGATATTTTATCACGAGCGTTTCTTCGTCATTTCCGTGTGCAGTAACGCGTGGCCCAGGCTGACTCATTAATGCGCATTTAGTGGAGGTGCCGCACGCTCTGCTAACTGAGACTCTCCGAGAGCTGGGGACGGTGAGGTGAGGGCTGCGGAGCAGAGAGTAGGGGGCGGAGGGCCCTTCCTTCTCGAGACGGAAGCGAGGCCCACTTGCCCCGGGCCTGCTGCTCGCCCAGCTCCCCCTCGGAGTCCCGGGGGCTAGGGAGGAGCTCCGGGCCTGCCGCTGCCCGCAGCAATTCAGTACCTCCGGAGAGAACGCCGGCCACCCACGCCGCAACCTAGTCACCGGCCCGCGCCCCGCACTCACTCCGGCGCCGGGTCCCCGCGTCCCTCGCCGGCCGGCCTCCCGCGAGCGCCCTGCACCTTGGCGACGGCGCGGGGCGGGGCTGGAGAGGTCTGCCCGTGGGGAGGCGGAGGCGGAAGGGGGCGAGGCGGAGGCGGGAGGAGGAGGGGGATTGGGGGTGGCGGCGGGAAAGCCCTTCCAGGGTTCGGGAGGGTGGGCTTGGGCTCGGCTCGGGCTCGGGCTCGGGCTCGGGCTCGGGCATGGGCATGGAGAGCACCTGGGGTCCTCGCCGCGTGGCGAGGTCGTCACAGTCAGTGGCTCTGCGATGGACGAGGTCTAGGAGGAGACAGAAGTGGGGGACCCGTGGGCCTGGCGGGGGGACGGGGGCAGAGGTCGCCTAAGGTAGCTGCGCGCCACTCCCGCCCGCAGAGGGCGCTCCTGCTCCCGCGTCCCCACCCCCATTCCCAGGCCCAGGAGGCAGAGGGCGCGGGGATAAAGGGGGCAGCTCAGGGCAGGGCCTGGGGCGCAGTTTGGGGGGGGGGGGGGGGGGGGGTGTAGTATTGAGTGAGGAAGGACAGGCAAAAGCGGTTGCAGCTTTGGAAATGGGTGGGGGAGGAAAAAGGTTTTTAAGAAATTTGGCCGTGGTCAGTAGCTTTGGGGCTTGTAAATTTAAGGATTTGGGGACAGAATAAAGGCCCCTAAAAAAATTCGTGTTCTAGGGCCGCCTGGGTGGCTCAGTGGGTTAAACCTCTGCCTTCGGCTCATGTCATCATCTCAGGGTCCTGGGATGGAGTCCCACACCAGGATCTCTGCTCAGCAGGGAGCCTGCTTCCTCCCCTCTCTCTGCCTACTTGTGATCTTTCTCTGTCAAATAAATTTTAAAAATCTTAAAAAAAGAAAGAAAGAAATCTATGTTCTAATGCTGGAACCGGTGAATGTGTTGCTTTTCGTGGCAAAAGCGACTTTGTAGATGTGATTAAAGTTACATACCTTGAGTCTACGAACATAAAGCCCAGAAAACTCACCACCCCTACCACGGTGGTTAGAGACATTGTTGGCTTTGAAGATGGAGAAAGGGGACCCTAGCCAAAGAATTCCCACAGACTCTAGAAGCAGAATAGGTGTGGAAATGTGTCCTCTCCAAATGTCCACAAAGGAATCCAGCTCTGCTGACACCT